AACCGAGAACCACCCACATTCCTGAACCAGATGCTCCCCCAGCCTGCCTTCAGTGACTCAGTGCCAGCGGCCACATCATCACCGGCCACCAAATGCTACACATTTATATAGGAAAGGTTTACATGCAGCTTGGATTTGGACGAAGGGGCTAGGGGTGAGGTAGTTCTTTGAAGTTACTGGCTGAACTATAAACATGAGGTTACTGACGGCTGACAGGATTCAGGGTATCTACAGAGTCATAAATTTTTACTCCATATGTCCTGCTTTTGTGGAACCCAGGGTAGATACATTCAGATTTATTGTTCCAGTCCTACTCTCCCTTGAGTTCAACTTCTGGTCAGTTGAGCCCATTACTCCCCATATCGGGGACTTGAGCGACTGGCAACTTCAGGGGAGGAAGTTGTAGCCACTGTCAAGAGTGCAGAACTGCATTTTTTTGGCGCCTTTCCTTTGCCTGGAGACTCTCTGAGAGGGTGGAGTTTGGAGAAGGGGGAGGGGGGAAACGAGCTTCCAGGAGTATGCAGAGGTGACCCGGAGGCTCATAATTTCAAATTGTCTTTCTATGCTTCCTCATTCTGAGGGCACAGCCGTGAGTGCTGTGCTCCCGTGGTCTCCCAAGTCCATTTTAGGAAGACTTTGCCTCAGTGACTTCGTTCTCTTACACATCAGGTAATTCTAAGAATAACAGATTTTAAAAACAATACACAGCCAAATCAGAAATCAAAGACCTCAAAATGCTTCCCAGCCAACAGCTAACCCACCATCCATTTCATCACCTGGCTTCCTTTGAACAGTGACAAAATCTAAGTGAAAACACAATAAAGGTCATGGGAAGGCTGTCTATATTCCCTGAGCAGCAGCCCTGTACCTTCCCTCAACTCAGAAAAGGAGTTCAACAGAAAAGAATAAATAAAACGGTCTGAGGGTGTTGCTGAGTTGGGGAAAGAGCTTTAGAAGAAGGCAGGGACTTGGATTGTTCAGCAATATAGAGAAACCCAGTTAAATCTGAATTTCAGAAAAACAACAATAAATTTAGCGTATCTCATGCAACATTTAGGATGTAGTTACACTTCAGTGTTTACCTGAAATTCCAGCTTCACTGCGTGTCTTATTTTTTTTGTTTTTTTTTATTTGTTGAATCTGGCCAATGTAGGAGAAGAGACACAGAAAGGAATCTAATAAAAACCCTTCTTTTAGGATAGGGATGTAGCTCTGTGGTAGAGCATTTGCCTAACATGTACAACAAGGCCCTGGGTTTGACTCTCAGTACTGAAAAGACAAGTCTTTTATCATGAGAGTGGATTACTATCTGTATCCTTCTTGCTAACTCCACTCCTTTTCCGGGGAGCCCAGTGGGTGACTCCTTTTCTCTGGCTGCAAGACTGTAAGGTCTCGGACCTGTCTCAACTAGAAAGTCAAACACTGTTGGGTGCTGCTTGTCTCTGCTTCTTAATAAGACCAACGTGCCTTTATTGGTTTGGTGTGTGTGTGTGTGTGTGTGTGTGTGTGTGTGTGTAAGATGTGTGAATGTGCACGTTTGTGGGTGTGGGTGTGGACACACCCATGCCATGCTGTGCACAGGGAGGTCAGAGGACAGTGGTCCCATCTCAGTTCTCACCTTTCTGCTTTGTGAAAGACAGTCTCTTCCTCACTTTACAAGCCAAGCTAGCCAGCCTGTGTGTTTCTGGAGAGTCTCCTGTCCTCACCTCGTTCCTGTACACACTTGAATTACAAAATATGCTTGAGCCACTGTGTCTGGCTTTTATGTGGGTTCCAGGGTCCAAATGAAGGTGGTCAGGCTGCAGAGTCAGCACTTTTACCCACGGAACTAGCTCCCCAGCTCCCGGTGTGCCTTTAAATCCCAGAGTTTCAGATAATAGAGCATTCAAGCAGAGGGAAGTTATCAATGTAGAAAGTGGTCCCCGATGTTCTTGATCCACTAAGAAGAGTATTTGGGGGCAGGAGGAATGCTTGAGCACCAAAACATTGCTGAGTGTCTGTTGTAGCAAATAGGAGGACCAGAAGGGAAGAGACTATGTGGTTCCTGCCCTCAGCAAGTCTTAGTGTACTTGAGGCAACCAAGTACCCTTCATCTAATCAAGCAACCTTTGAGGTTGGTCATAGCACACAGCACGCACATACATACAAGCCATCAGCAACCATCAAGGTTGGTCATAGCACACAGCACACACATACAAGCCATCAGCAACCATCAAGGTTGGTCATAGCACACAGCATACACATACATACAAGCCATCAGCAACCATCAAGGTTGGTTATAGCACACAGCACACACATACAAGCAATCAGCAGTTCCCAATTAGCAATTGCCACAGCTGGGCTGGTTGACACGCCTCTGCAGACTGGCAATTAAGCAGAAAATGCACCCAAATGTAACGGTTTATCGTTTACAACAACGGGAACATTTTGGTGCAGGGTCCATGAGTGCCCAATTCAGTAGGATAATGTGCCAGGGTCTGGGTGTTGCTTTGTGCGCACACAATACCTGTTCATTAAAGAAAAAGTACCCAGAGATTAGAACTCTTATTTATATATGGGCTACAAACGAACATGTCCAGAGAGAAATAGAGAAATGTGTGTGTTCTGGAGTGTAAGCGAATCCCTCTGAGGAGCCAACTGTCTTTGTAAATTAATCTGGTCCAGAGAGAGTCATTGTCACTGAGCTTAGATACACATTGCTGAAAACATAGTTCTAGAGGGGCTGGAGAGATGATTTAGTGGATAAAATACATGGACCTGAGTTTGAGTCCCCAGTATCCACATAAAGGCCAGTTGTGGCAGCATGCGCTTAGGACCCCAGTGCTGGAGGTACAGATCCTGGGTGCTTGTTAGCCGGTCAGGCCAGCCAAAACCTGAGCTCCAGTGAAAGACCTCATCTCAGAAACGTAAGGTCCAGAGCAACAGAGAAAGATATACTATGTCTACTTCTGGCTTCTACACGTGCACATATGGGTGCACACATCTGCACATACATGTGTACACATGTGAATGTACCACACACACACACACACACACACACGAACACAGCACATACATATCAATAAACAAGCAAACTCCTTTCAACAATCAAAGGTAGTTCTGGAACGATTAGCCGTTCAGACTCAGACACACAGAAATACGAGAGATTTGTGTCCAAGTGCCACCCAACAGCACCACGCAGCACTACACAATGAAGAGGAGGCAGCGGATGGCCCTGAAACTGGTGTGGCTTGAAGAGCAACTTGACTGTTGAACGCCCCGTCACTGAAGAAGAGCTCCAAGATGATGAAGGGAACCTTGAATCTGCTGACAGGTGACCTGTGTCCCTAACACTGCAAGTCTTTGTCCTAACAGTGAGGGGCATCCATTGATGGGAAGTCCTGTGAGTGACTTCCTGGAGGCAGAAGACAGACACAACACCTGTATGATGGGAAATCCAGCTTACAGCAAGAGATAGAATCTTTGGAAAATGATACTTCATGCTCCAACAACCTCGCTGTCTGTGTTTTAAGATGTACCCAGGGTTTGTTTTCATCGGGAATGATAAGATATCAGACAGAGACCATGGCTTTGACGGGAAAAGCATCGTACTTTTGGTTTGGGGGAGGACCCCCCCCAACCCCACCCCAAGGCACACAGAGAAGACCAGGGTCCATCAGGAGGCAGAAGGATGGAGAGAAGCCTAGGCAGAGCCTTCCTGTTGCTTTCACTGGAGTAACAGGGGAGGCAGAGTTAATGTCTGAGCAAGCGTGCAGTCGGCTAGTTTGAATAAGGTGGGAGGGAAGTGAAGCCTGGGCGAGAGGATTTGGGGGTGATTTAGGGCAGAGAACAGGGTCCTAGTTTGATAAAAAGGACCAGACATAGGCTCTGGATTAGTAATTAGCTAATCATGGAAGGACAGTGCGTCCCTCAGGCCTGTAAGACCCAGGTGCCAACACATCAAAACATATAGAAAAGGATAAAACACAACCAAATCAACCTCTTCCCTGTAAAACCCCAATTTTCTGGACAAATGAAACTATAATCTAAAAGCTTTTATCTCTTGTAGAAAGGTCCTACGGTGGGAGGGATTGTAATCTTGGTGGAAAACTCTCCCTTCACAGTTGGCTGGGTAAGTGGGGTGAGACCCAAACCAGGACAGTAGAGAACAGGAGAGCGTAGAGAGGGACGGCAGCCTGTCAGGAGTGAAGAGATTCATAAGATGACAGTCATTCTAAGGGTGTGCCCCGGGGCAGGCAAGGAAAGGAAGATATGCTAGTTAAGGTTCCCGGTTACAAACAGCAAAATCCGTTTCAGCTCGTTGAATCAGAACATAATAGTAAGGCTAGGTACACAGGTGCATGCCTGTAATTCTAGCACAAAAGAAGCTGAGAGGGGAAGATTTCAAGTTCAATTCCAACCTGGGCCCTGTCTCAAAGCAGAAGAGGAAAGAGGATGGAGAGGAGGAGGTGGCACAGGAAATATTTACAGGATATTATAGGACTAGAGAGTTACTGCCAGGGACTAAACAGACTGAAAAAAAAATCCCACCCAACTACAGCATATAACTCTTCTAACAGAAATACCATGGCTATTGCTTTCTCTGCTAGATACCACGATGGCGGGTGAGGCAGGATAGAAAGAAAGATGGTGAAAATTACGGGGACATGGGCAGGGGAAAACCTGGATTCTGGGTTTCGCCTGCTGAGCAGCAAGAACTCCAGTAAAATTGCCAGCGTTTGCTGTACCAATTGGACCTATCGCCTCCACAGAGGCAGCATCCCTTTCATACGAAGAACATTTGCTTAAGACCTTTTCCCTTCCCAACTGCAAACCTACGATTTTTCAGGACTCTCACCAGAAACCCCATTTACAGTAAAAAAAAAAAAATAAAAATAAAAATAAAAATGTCTACATCCCTCACCCAGCTGTAGTGGCTCCTGGTTTTACCAAATACTTCCATCCAAGGCACCTCTGGAGCCACCCTACAATCTCACTTGTCAAAAAGAGACAAGGAAAATATAAGTTTCTCAGCAGCACTTTGAGATACATCTTGAGGGCCACCGAAAGCCTATACGTGGGAAATGATGTGACTCTCCTGTGAGAAGCCCACACCAACACTTGGATGTGTCTTTCCCCCCCACGAGCACTGTAAGGAACACATGTAAGGCCTAGGGTGAACAACCCTGGTCAGGAATGATAAGCAATAGAATGATGTAAGTAAACCACAAATGGAGTAGTGATAAGCTATAAGCTATGTATGGAAGTAGGGATAAGACTAGAAACCTAGCCAGGAAAGAATATAAAAGATGAAGCCTCAGACCCGACCAACAGAGCTCGTCAGGCCCTCGCGCGAGACGACTCTCCTCTGCCAGAGACGTGAGATCCTGTCCCCAGTGCAGACGTGGCTGACCTGAGGAAGGCTGACCCAAGATCCAGAGGAACAGACGTGGCGAGTCCGGACCTGTATACCCGGAGAGGTACTCCTGCTTCCATTTGGAAGACAGGATGAATATTGCTTGTAATCTTACTGTGTGAATAAATGAGTGTTATACCAAGTCTGAATCAAGAGTGATTATTCCTCCCCCGTAACTGGGGTATGTGCTCGCTACAGTTGGCGTAGTCGGCAGGATTTTGGGCTTAAAGCCTCCTTGACCACTGAGCACTGAGGAATGTAAAATAAGTAATACAAAAGAATTGGCTATTACTCTGGTGGAGTAACAAATTACAGGAAACCAAATAAACTAGCAAGTGACCTCAAAGCCGCTCTGAGAAATCAACTCCTCGAAGTCAACTCTGAGGACCTAAAGAAAATCTGAAGGTCCAAGGAGGAAGAACTGGTAGGAGAGAGAGTATCAGAAGCAGACGGGAAACACCACCCTCCCTAAGGGTGCGGAGTACCGAAAGAATACCGGACACCTTGATGCCAACCCAGACCCCTGGGGAAGAGCGGAAGGTGCTGGGAAAGAGCTAAATGAGGCGCTGGCTGGCCAAAAGGATAGAAAGGATTGCGGATTTGAAATTTGAAAAATTGATAACTGATTCTTTGAATCAGTCTAAACGAATTAGTGACTGGGAGTGGTACCGTAGGAAAAAATTAATTAAATTTTTGTACGGCTTGGTATACCACTTACAATGAATAGATTAATTAAGAAATTTAAGAAGACTAACATCTCCCCAGTGACAGGTAGAGAATACCAAGATGAGGTTGAAGAACAGTGGGGAAAAGTAGCCTCCAAGGTTAAAAATAAGGCCGGCATGAAATCAGTAAATGTAACTAACACATTAACAAATCCGGATGTGGTAGAACAAGAATTAGAGGGATGTAGCAAGGCACAAACTACCGCACTGCTTATGAAAACGGTGCAGGATATTGATAAGGACAGATTAATGGGCAAAAGGCTAGCCTTAAACATAGTGAGGAAGGAACAGGAGCGTAGCGCTACTCCTGGATGGAATGGATGTAACACCGTACCATCATTTCCTGTCTCTACCCAAAGTAAGAGAACTCCTATTAGAAGTACTATATCAGCTCTGAACCCCTTCAGCACTGGAGGAGGTAGTAATCGTCCCAAATTTGAAATGGGAACGAAGTTTGAGGAAATCAGGCCATATACTCCTCAGGAGATCTCAGAATTACGGAAAGATTATGCCCAAAATGTACAGAAAGACGCAGAATATATATGCCGACTGTGGGAAAAGGGAGCTGACACAGTCATGTTAACTGATCTAGAAATGAGAAAGATCAGAAACATAGTAGAGAACCCCTCAGTATCAGAAGCTCTAGAGCATGTAATTGAGACATCAAAAGGTGATACACATCCACTATTAGATTGGATTACTGCAGCTTGGAGATTTGCATTTCCAACATTAGACCTCACTCAATTTGAATCAGCAGCACAGTGGACAACATATGCACAAGCCATAAAACAATGTAGAAAATTAGGCATATTGTATTTCATATACAACCAGGTACCCACACCTCAAGCCGCACCTTTTACACCACAATTTAAAAAGATCATTATTAAAGGAGCTCCAGCACACCTTAAAATGAGCCTAGCTGGACCCCTGCAGGCATGTCAAACCATCTCAGATGCCATGGAATTCTTTAAATCTTACAGGGAAATGGACATAGACAAGGTAGTATCATTCAATGTTAATAAGAAACAGGACAAGAAGAAATTTACACCGCGGTTTTCGAACATAAGACCATTTGGGAAAGCTAATCAAATGCCCATAAGACAGAATGCAAATAAACCATGGAACCCAATTAGAAGGTTGACAGGAAGGAAAAATATCCCATGGAGAGAGACACAGAGCAACCCATGGAGACAGACATGCCAACCAAAACCTTTTTTAGGCAATCGAAATTTCAAACCAAATTTCAGACCAAAATTTTTCAATCAGAACAATCACAGGCCCCCAAGAGCAGGACCCCCCAGACGCTACATACCAAGACGGACTTGATCAACCCGGCTGGTAGACCATTCGTAGCTATACCTATAATAACTAACAAAGGGCCGAGAATAGTAAAATGGCTAATAGATACAGGTTCTGAAATTAGTATAATAACGGAATTTACAGAACATTTTAAAACTGATAAAAGGATTATAATACAGGGAGTAGCAGCAGAAACAGAAGTACCAGTAATAAAATTAAGACTCAAATTATATAATAAGGAATATGAGATTGAAGCAGCTAGCTTCAATGCACCCTGTAATATCCTAGGCATTAAAGAAATAAGAAAATTATTCCCAGACTTTCTAAATAATAAGAGAATAGCTAAGGTCAGATGTAATCTAGCAGAAGTAAAAATACAACCTATTAAATTACCACACACACCCCCGACCTTCACGGCACAATACCCTATCAAAGGAGGTATTAAGGAAATAACAGAGACTATACAAACTTTGCTAAAAGAAGGCATTATAGAGAAATCTCAATCATTCAATTATAACAGCCCAGTATGGCCGGTGCTGAAACCTAATGGCAAATGGAGATTTACAGTTGACTTCAGGAGAATAAATGAAAAAACACCTAAACTTCCAGGACAACTTCCTGATGTGGAAGACATCTTTCTTAGAATTAAAAATTCAGCTCCAAAGGCAATGGCAACTATAGACTTAAGTGATATGTTCTTTGGAATCCCATTACACCCAACATCTAGGGAACTTACTACATTTACATGGCAAGGACAGCAATATCAATTCTTGAGACTCCCTCAAGGGTATTTGAACAGTCCTATTATTGCACACAACACCTTAACAACTACATTAAAGAGTTTCGAGCCAGAATCAGACTGTAACATATACACCTATGTAGATGATATAATGATAGTAGGACAAGCCATTGACAAAGTACAAAGTACATTAGAGAAACTAATTCAACATTTAAGAAATGAAGGATGGACTATAAACCTAGAAAAAGTAAATAAAGCAGGAACAGAAGTAAAATTCTTAGGGGTACATTGGACTACAGAAGGACCAACAATACCCGAAACAATAATAGATAAATTAAAACAAATTAAGCGACCCCAGAATAAAACTGAGGTACAACATCTAATTGGCCTATTTGCATATTGGAGGCAACATATTCCATACTTACAGATCATATTACAGCCTTTATATAAAATAACAAAGAAAGCACAGGATTTTGAATGGGACCAAAACTGCGAAAATGCCGTTAAATTGGTACTGGAATATATAAACCAGTATAGCCACCTATATTATATACAGCCCGGTGACCACGTATTTGTGGACATCTTGTATATGCAGGGTTATGGTAATTGGAATATATTTTCAAAAAATAAAGACAGGGAAACGCCAATAGGCTTCTACTGCAAGAAATTCCCATGGTCAGAGAACAAATATTCGCTGTTCGAAAGAACCATATGGACAGCCTACGAGGCATTCAGGACAATCCACTCACTGCTCAAAGAGAACCATGTGACTCTCCGATCACATATACCCATTTTGGACTGGGTAAAGGCACCAGGAGAGGCGTGGGCTGGACTACCCATGGAAGGAAAGGTACTTCAATGGAAATGGTACCTTCAGGAGTTCCTTCGATCAACACCTCTGTCAGCAAAGGGGTCGGTACCAGCGGTATCGGAGTCGATACTTCAGTCCGACAGGCCCATGACTCCAGAGGGATACATTTTCCCAACCTCAACCCCTCCCCAGAAACAGGTACCAATGGGCCATTGGGGGACTAGAGAGTACGATCCCTCTCTGGTTAATGCCTGGTTCACCGATGGATCAGCAACCACGGTGAACAACAAAGTGAGATGGAGAGCAGCCGCTTATAGACCTGGGGATGGAATGGTCATTACAGACCAGGGCACTGATAAATCAGCCCAACATGCAGAAGTTATAGCCGCACTATTGGCGATAAGACAAACTATAAAGGACAATTATAAACAAATTTATTTATACACCGATTCATGGTGTGTGGCAAATGGCATAGCAGTATGGTCAGGTAAATGGAGAAATAATGGATGGAAAATTAATGGTAAAGACATATGGTCAAAGGCAGCATGGCAGGAATTGGATGCAGCAAGCAGACTAATCAAAATCATAGTATACCATGTAGATGCACATACCAAGAAACAGGATGAGACAAGTAAAAACAATGAAGTAGTAGACAAACTAGCTTCAGCGTTAAGTATAAAGTTAAAAGGTACATGGAAGGCAAACATTAATCCAGAAACAGGAAAAGGTAAAATACAGAGAGAATGGATACAGGTAAGACCATCAACTAAGGACATACCTATAAGTACAGAAGAGATACTGAAAATCCATGAGCAGTTAGGACATATAGGTACACATGCACTAAAAAGTTGGTTCGATAAAAGAAATCTTAAGATAACATGGCAGACAATAAGGAAAGCAATCAATAGTTGCAACAATTGCCCAAAGGCTATTACAAGATTAACACACAATTACCAAGGGATAATAGGACACCGAATGGATTTTAATAGAATCCTACAAATAGACTTCATAGGACCGTTAAACAGCTTCAAGGGAAAATATTGCTGCACCCTAGTAGACATAACAACAGGTCTCGGGATGGCCCGAGAAAGCACACACCCAGACCAAAACACAACAATACTTACAGTCTGGGGATGGTGTGCAGCATATGGAATACCTGATATAATACAATCAGACCAAGGAACTCATTTCACAGGAGCCAAAACACAAAGAATGGCTAGAAACTTAAACATTCAATGGGACTTCCATAGAGCCTATACACCGACAGCAGCTGGAGCAATAGAAAGATGGAACGGAATGATTAAAAAACAGCTAGAGATGCATAAGGGAATACCACTGTCATTAGCAATAAAAATAGCAACTTATGAATTGAATACCAGACCCAGAATAAATAGGAAGTCACCAATAGAAGAAGCTATACAAAAACAACACACAATAGATTATCCTACAGTTATAGATAGAGAAGTAATAAGGAATCCTAATTGCCTTTACAGGAACCGGAAGAATAACAAATTATCCCCAGCAGAAATAATAGCACCAGGAACAGGAAACAACGTGTGGATAACTCAAGGTAAAAAGGACTTGAAATTAGTCAGGCTGGAGGATATAGCATAAATGTGTGTCAGGGAGGTGATATTCATAAGGGCAACCCTCCTGACGATTTGGCTAATAGCTATTGCAGTATACATAGTACTGCCAATCTTAGAATTTGTTTTTCCCTTCTGTAACATCATTTACCAAAGAAGCTACTCATACAACATAGTCAACAATACCAATCCTGGATACGCTTCTGCAGCATCCAGAACAGCCAACTTCACGGTATGCTGGATACACTATCTGCACAGGAGGCAATAAGAATAGCAAAGGTGATGTGCACATTGAAGGCAAGCAAGCTATATGCTATTGGAGCCTTTGTGTGCTCATTTTTCTGTCTCAGGTTAGCAGATGTGATGGCAATAACAGCATACCAATGCCAGCCCTATTGGACAGTACACCCACAACAAACAGACCCACCACCACACCACATGTTATACAAGTGGGCACTAGGAAACAGAATACCGTTGCTATACCAACAATTTATGATCTAGAAGGCAAATTACCGCTATATTGGTCAGCAGAGAGAAGATTTACACATTACATAGGAAAAACACACAGTTTTTGGCAAAAATATGCAGCATGTTTAACATATGCCTGGTATAAGGGTTGCGATCAATATAGAATGGCACTTAGCATATACCATCCAAACAAAGAATATATGTTAGAATCAGGGGATGATGTTAACACCAACATACATGAGCAGAACCCGTTAAAATGCCATTACAATGAATTATGGACCAACATTACCAATCACGCAGCCATATACAACATGTATTGGACAAAGAATTCACATATCAGAACAAACACATTAAGGGTAAACTCACACTATAGGACCAATACAATGGGAATAGAGACAGAACCAGAATTTGACTGCGAACTAGGCATGAATAGCTCCTTTGTGAGACAATATTTCGCACCAGTAATAGCACAACAAATGGAGGAGATAGGTATGCTATATAATAAGACATCAGAAAGGTGGGAAGAACAAGTGTATAATTACAATGATGACTATTATGATGGTGATTACCCTGCTAGTACAACACCTAAAGTAACTACAACACCTATAAACCCATGCAACCCTATGAATTGGACAGTATGCAATGATGGTGAAATGGTAAAACCATGGCCAGTAGTATCTGGAATAATACCATTACCCAAACCCTGGGGAAATAGATGTCCCAATAACTTATGGAGATACATTCAAAAACATAAGCTAGATGTACCAGGACAAAATAATACTAACTGGTTATGCGTAGCAGACTATCCCAATTTACCATTCTATGGTAACTTCTCTGTATTATATAGCACAGATAACCCATCAGTAAAAGGAAAGGAATGGAAATGGGATGACTGGACAAAAATATTGCAATTAGGAGTAGAACATTGGAGATTCCCAATCATACTTACAGATATTATACAACAACCTTGGGCTTCAATGAGACACACAATGAAACCTAAATATGATTGCAACACAGACACCATAACACACATTTGCATACTTACAGTAAATTCCACATTACACAGGGAAAAACACTCTTTTGCATATGCATGTATAAATATGTCCGAAGCAAATACAAACATTAGACAAAACAACAATACAAAGACTATAGTGGACCTACATGTAGGACCTTTATTTACTGGAAGAACATCAAGGTCAGTACAAGATTTAATAGCAATCACAGATATAATAGGCCAGAAAATACCATGGCTAGGAATTTTTGTGGACAGTACTGCAAATATAACAGCTACTAAACAGGTCCAGGCAATAATGAGATTTAATGACGACCAACAGTCATATCCAACATATTTTACGCAAGCAAGTAATTTGGGATTTTTTAACCTAACCTTAGCAAAATCACTAACACAAGGTACCACAAGCTTGAGAAACAAATTATCATGCTTTACCGAAACAAATAATACAGCGGTACGGACTAACTGTACCACAAATAAAGCAACCACAATAATAAATTTGAATATATATGGTAAAATTACCATAATAAACAAACATATGTCACTAGCAAAATTTGACAGCACACCAATATTAACCATAGGCATGATACATGAACCAAAACATAAAATACATAACATGCTAGGTGGCAGTAAGATATCAATTTGCTGGTTTCACGAATCTAAAGACTTACTGGACATGCCCATACCCTGGGAAGTCAGTGCCAATGTTACTATAGATGAAGTAGCAGCAAAAAATATTTTCATATTTAATAGGGCAATTGAACAAAAGGCATACAATTTCACAGGTATAAGGGAGGTAGAATATATCCCACCATATGTACAAATGACAAAGGCTATGAGAATCAATAAGGTTATGGATCCAGATGACCTAATGGTACATTATAAAAATGGGATAACTAGATCAGGGAGTTTTTGGCAAACTTTGGATTATGAAATGGATAGAGTAATTGAATTACAGCACCATAATCTCCCATATTATTTCTACATGTTAATGCCAAATCCACAATATAAAGAATGGAATAAGGCTGAATGGGTAGCACACAAACCTAGAGGATCAATGAAATCACATACACAATATTGGGATAAAATATATTATCTCCCGATATCAAGAAATAAGGATTTTCTCAGCGAACATTCCAACACACCATTAATTATATTTAGAGGAAATATGACCAGACCAAATAAAGAAAATATTGGATTATATACAGCTCATTTTCCAAAAGGATACCTAATACCACCAGAAGGAACCCCAACAGTAGTCAAGGCACCAGCTATTATACCAGACCTAAAAAGTCCAGCTAAATTAGTTTTATACCCTAGGATTAGAAAAATTGAAATTACAATAGATTTGACAGCACTGAAACCACCTATAGAATATTGTAGTGATGTGAATTTTAGATTTGATTTAGACTACTCATCACCAACAAGAGTAGGAAGAAAACCACTACAAGCAATGGCAGTAGCAGCCTTTATGGCAGGAGCAATTTTAGGTGGAATAATGGGTGGAGGAGTATCAGCAGCAATGATAGAACCAATAAAGGCAGAAATATACCACATACAAGAAGTAAATAAGAAAACAGCAGAAGCTTTAGCAGCTATATCAAATTCTATAGATGGCATGCATACACTAATACAAACTATGCAAGGCGAGATAAAAATGTCACAAGACCTTTATAAGGAACAATTCTCCTATCAAGCAAAACTTATTAATACTAACCATAACATGATGATGTGTCAAATGTATCGAACTCAAGTCAGTAATATGAATAATGAATTAAATAGTTTATTTAGCACAGGGTTAGGGAGAAGAACAAGAGAATATCAAAGTATACTAAACCCTGAATATGAAAGCTCATACACAGATGGATTATGCAATATACATTTAGTACAGATCTTCTTACAAAATTCATTTTCAGCATATCATTCCAAGGCGATACCACAGCTATATACTGAAAGAACAGGAGTATCAGAATGGAACCACCAATACTTAGTACCCATAGACCATTACTTATGGACCAATATGAATGACACACCAGTGTACATACCATTAGAAGACTCCATATCATTAGGAGCAAATACATACGTTTATCCACATTTACCAGAAAGCACACTTGAAACTAGTCAATTGGCAGTAACTACTATCACACAGTCACTAGAAGATACGGGAGATTACACTTTCTTGATATGTGCTAAATATTTACCTACTTTAGTTAGCTGCATAAATCTTAATGAAACCACAATGAATGATGATATCACAACATTCAATATTACAGAATCAGGATGCTATATGGTACACAACTGTAGCATCCTACAAATGAATTTCACTAATTATGATGGTAAAAACATAACCAAACAAAGAGTGACCACATTAACACTAGAAGAAAAACATTATTTTGATGGCTCACACTTATTTAATGACCCAACAGAATTAGAACATCACCAAACATTTGTAAAACAAGCAATAGAGTTACAGCACATTGCAGATTTCAATCAGAAACAACTGGAATCCATACATAACAAAATTAAAGAACAAGATGCAGCCATACATACATCACAAGCACAAACGCACAATCTAGTGAATCTGTTAAGAACAAATACATACATACATAAAGACTGGGCAAAACAGATGCAGAAATGCAGCTTTTGGGATTATTTAGGCAGACTAGTCAGATTAGATCTAATATGTACACCAATTTACACATGGTGGCACTGGATAAAGTTAGCAACCTTTTGGTTTTTAGTAATTTTAGGGATAAGTATTGCTTTATGTTTGTCTAAAAAAATCAAATGTTTGATAATAACTCCATGCTTAAGATGTCTTACAGGAATCAAGTAACAGGAAACCCACTTTGGAATCCGTCGGGCAGACGCTTCGATTTACTTAGTAAAAATGGAATGAGTAATTTACTATATACCACATACCAAAAATATATGGAACCATTGTCTGATATTTTCTATAGAATAGGTATATTATCTATGGCAGGAACGATACAGGGATGCAAATACTGCACCCATAAATATGCAATGTTCTACCTATCAGAACCAGGTGAGGTAGACAACCTCCCAATGCTCTTGATGCACTTAACGTTCCACTTGACAATAGAAGGAGGTATACATGATATGAGATTAATTGGAGATGGATACATGAGATATTATGGAACCATACAATCTAGTGTATATAAAGTGAATGGAATGTACAAAATACACAGAAATAACATGGATGCAGCCCTACATATAAGCGCAGCTTTAGCTGCAGCATATGTGGGCCGCGGTAATCACAGAATATATGAAACATATAGAACATGGCTAAAACATAATCCTGATGAAGCAATAATAAGCATTGATAAAGATTTCCTGAATGACCCACAGTGGGAAACAGGAGAACCAATGTATTTACAAAGCATATGTACTAGAATATTGTGTAGAGATTTTGTTATAGATGTGTTAAAAGAATTTGCAGCTTATAGCACTTGGTTGAAGTTATATAATGCATATATAGAGAAAAAACATAAAAATAAACCACCCAGAATGAGAAGGATAAGAATGCTAGGATTAACAAATTAGGATAACATATTGTAAATCTCCAGGCTGCGACCTCATGTGATGCCTTTTATGTTGAAGACATTTCAGGCATCAGGGGATGGAATGTAAGGAACACATGTAAGGCCTAGGGTGAACAACCCTGGTCAGGAATGATAAGCAATAGAATGATGTAAGTAAACCACAAATGGAGTAGTGATAAGCTATAAGCTATGTATGGAAGTAGGGATAAGACTAGAAACCTAGCCAGGAAAGAATATAAAAGATGAAGCCTCAGACCCGACCAACAGAGCTCGTCAGGCCCTCGCGCGAGACGACTCTCCTCTGCCAGAGACGTGAGATCCTGTCCCCAGTGCAGACGTGGCTGACCTGAGGAAGGCTGACCCAAGATCCAGAGGAACAGACGTGGCGAGTCCGGACCTGTATACCCGGAGAGGTACTCCTGCTTCCATTTGGAAGACAGGATGAATATTGCTTGTAATCTTACTGTGTGAATAAATGAGTGTTATACCAAGTCTGAATCAAGAGTGATTATTCCTCCCCCGTAACTGGGGTATGTGCTCGCTACAAGCACAATTCTCTCTGTTATGCTGTTGTATATGGGAGGTCCTGGCGGGTAGAGCCCAGGTGCCCCACAGCGGATGAGAGACAGAGCTGCCATGCAGACAGCGCTCAGTGAAGAGTTTTATTTGGTGGGGAGGAGAGGGAGAGAAAGAGAGAGAGAGAGAGAGAGAGAGAGAGAGAGAGAGAGAGAGAGAGAGAGAGAGAGAGAGAGAGAGAGAGAAGGGCGAGGGGTGTGCACCTGGTGGGAAGGAAGCAGAAGAAAGAGAGGAAGGGGCGGAGTTTATCCTTTTATACGCAGGGCGTTGCCAAGGGGCGGGATCAGAATAGTAACACTTTCCTTAACCCCTGTGCTTAACATGTATGTTTAAAATGTCTTTAAAGAATCTGGAACTTTTCTTGGAAGGCCACACCCGTGGCCTCTGTTGTTCTCTATTCTTTCTCTAAGCAGCTTTCTTTTGACTTTTCATAAAGTCCAGCTCTGCTTCCTACTGCCTGAAATCTTTTCTAGACTGCAACCAAGGATCTGGTTTTATTTGAGTTGAGGTGCGCTCCCCACCCGCAAAGCTTCATGAAACTCTCTGGCCACTGCCGACCGAGTCCAGCTGTTTGCTCCTGCTGACAGCAGACCAGCTGCTCTGTTCCAGGGACCTCAGAAGAGGCTGCTATCTCAGCCATCATGCCTGATGATTAAAATAAAAAAGTCCTCCTGTAATACCCAGCATCCTACATGCCAGGAAATTGGGGAATGTAAGCCCACATTTTCCAGCTCAGGAAGTCAAACCAAGAGGGGACTGGGTTTGGACTGACCAGCTCACACTGTGCTGTGTCGAGTATGACACTTCCCCCATGGGCGACGTGTTTGAACCCTAGGTCTCTAACTGGCACACTGTTATGGGAGGCTATAGAACCTTTAGGATGTGCATCCTAGTCAGCAGAGGTGGGCCACTGGAGGTTAAATCCACTTCTACGGCTACCTAAGCTCGCTGCTTCCTGATGTGCCCAATGTGAGGAGCCCCCTCCTCACCCTCCCTCTACTATGGACACAACTGACCCAGAGGCCAGACCTTCCCGCCATGGTAACCACATCCTCCAAAACCGGGAGCCCAAAGCGACCTTTCCTCCCTTAAATCCTGTCAGATGGGTTATCTCCAGTGGCAAGAAAAGAAACCAATGGGGGACTACAGGAAGGAATGAGACTCCAGCGTTTCAAGGAAAAAAAAAAACAAAAAACAAAAACAGATCAGAAGCAACTGTTGTGGAGATAAACACCCATGTGCTCCACTGTCCCCGTGCCCCTGTGAACCAGGGAGCAAAGGCTGAGTAATCCCAGGACAAAGGCACCAAGACCCTTTAAGTAAGTGCACAGCATTTTGCCCGCAGACATATTCCCGAAACAGTGAACTAAATCACACGCTAAGAACCACATATAATATTTATCGCCCTCAGCATCCCACCGTGAATCCTTTCACAAAGTGAATAACCGCCCTAACGTATTTCTTCTGTGTGAAACTGGATTTAATATATTGAGCTTTCTTAAATCAAGACGCGTCATCCCCCTGGAACCTTTTAAAAGCATGGAGCATCGCAAATTTCGTGAAAGGAGGCCATAAAAAGTCCCAGCTTTGCAGTGATGGACACAAGAGAAGTGCGAATAGAAGGGAGCCGCTACCAATTCCATCGCTACGCTCTTCCCCTGGGTCGGAGGAAGCCAGTGACTGTTTATACATACCAACAAGACTTACCCAATAGTCTCAAGGGCGTCAGGTCACACTCAGAAGTGTGCCGATAATGGCTATTTTGAGGGCTAAAGAGCCCAAGGTGATTTGGTCCCCAACCTGCGACACCCTGTCTTTCTGCCATCAGTACAGCTGTTTTTCTTTTTTACATTGATTTTTATTTGTATGTGCGCTTGTGTGGGGGGGGTGCGCACACACATGTATGCCACAGGTGTGTGGGTGCCCACACAGGCCAGAGGAAGGCATTGGAACTCCTGAAGCTAGAGTTACAGGCCACCTGGTGTGGGTGCTGGAAACCGTACTCAGGCCCTCTGGAAAAGCAGCAAGCTCTCTTAACCACTAAGCCATCTCTCCAGCCCCTCACGGAGGTTTTAATCAGTCAGCCTTGCAGAGTGTTTAATGCGGATGTGTATTTTTTTTTTCTAGAAATTTACTTCCAAACAGCTAAAACGTGGCAGTATGGTTGTAAAGGAGGTGAACTGTGTGATCCTAATACCTGCTCATGCCCCATGAGCAGCTAAAAGCCCTTGGGGTATCCAGTCACCCTGGCAGGAATGTGTGTGCTCTAACTACCCATCCCAGTGTTGGAAGGGGAGTCAGTGTCCTCACAGAAGGCAGCTAGGGCATGGTAATTGACACCTCACACTGGTCCACAGCATGCAAAGCAAAATTGCTGAGATAGTGGTGGCTGTGTGCGTGGGGGTGGGGGATGGGCCCCCTGTACCAGCTTCGGCTTTTTTTCTTATTACTTTTATCAGTCTGGCCCTGAGACCTGGAGGCCAAACGCTGTACATAATGAAAGATGTCTCTGCCTGCCCACTCAAATCTCAGCTCATAATGGAGATGGCTTCTCACTAACAGATTCCTGTACTCCTTCCCCAGAGCCCTTGTCAGATAATAGCACCACAGAAGCAATAACAGAGGAGAGACCAGCTGACACACTTCCACGCCCAAGAGGAGGAGGGGGCTTCTGGGTTGCACTTTCTGGAGCAGAATCAAATTATTTATGGGCCATTTAGATGCAAATGTGTCGTACATTTAGCAAACAGGTTGCATATGCAGACAATTTAGCCACACAATGACTGCGTAAGGACAACCCATCTAATCTCCCTGCATCAACTGTGTCTCTTCAAAGGGGCTTTGGATTTTCTCTGAATTGATCAAACTTGACAAGCAATTTCTACCTAATGTTTAGGCAGGCCTCTTTTCCCTTCTCTATCTGCAGGTGAGAAATCCTATTTTCTGCTAGTGTCGAAGGAATGTAAAAGGCTACGGACGCAAGCGAAGGAAAAAGAGGAAATATTACATGGAGGACTGTATCGCCACAGAAAATAGGTTCTGGTTTGGTAGCTTTGAAATTGCCAAACATTTCCATTTGACACAGCCCCATCCTCTTTCTGCTTCCTGAGTGGACGAAGGCAAGAAAACAGGGGACAGCCGAGCCTTCTCTGTACAGAGACAGCGTGTTCTTGCCCACATGCCCAATGGAGTCTGCATTCTTGTAAAAGAGTCACTGTGTTCCAGGGACTCTCAGAATCAATGAAAACAGCATTACGAAAAGAGACCAAATTTGAAAACTCAGCTCAGCCTGGAGTTTATTATCAAAATGTCAGCTTGATTCAGTTGTGCTAAACAAGCTGGTGGATGGGAAAGAGGGAAACCAATAAGCCCAGCAGCCCAGCAGGTCGGGGAGGTCAGAGGCATCCGCTGGATTTTTCCATGGCAGGCTGATCTGAGCACGCGGCCGAGGGGCTGTGCCACCTCTCAGGGAGTTCTGACACTAGCCTGGAAGGCCTACATCCTGATCTCCCAGCTCAAGTCTGGGGGGGCGCGGGGGTTTAGATCCTAATGCTACATCAGTGACTTAAAAAATAAAACCCACATTTCTTTTGTCCATAGCCAGGGGAGGGATGGCAACCTGGGAATTGCCCCCCAGCCTCCCCAAAGATTCCACCTGGGAGAAGTCTCCAGCCACTGCAGGTGGCCCTCTGGCCTG